TAAGTTTCCCGTAAGTTTCCCGTAAATTTCCGAAGGGGGGGGAGGCAAAGGGGGGGGGGTGGGGGAAAGGGGGAGTAAAAAAGTGTGGCAGGAGAGGTGAGAAAAGTTTGCAGAAAGTGCTGGAAACCTAAGCATTTCTAGAACTTGAAATGCATGATTGCTCACAACTCAGTCAACAATCAGCCAGCGCAGTAGAATCTCAGTCAACACTCACTTAACACAGTACAGCGCACAGGCGGCAATAAGTCTTTTGGCGCCGCACGCACACCGTAGTACTGGTTCCAGAACTCCAAGTTCTTGCCACCGCGGTTTCCACGAGGCCGGGTTGCCTTTTGGGCAGTCTCTGGCGCTTTCGCAGCTTTGGCTGCAGGTGGAGGACGTGGTGGCACAGTGTCCCTGATTTGCACCTTCACAGCTGGAGGTGGGGGGTTGATTCCTCCCGGAGGCAAAGCAGGCTTTGCAGGCATAGGTGCCTGTGTTTTAGCTATAGGCGGAGGCGGGCGCACCACTGTTTCCAAAGGTGAGCGAGGCCTCAAAGGTGTCGGAGGTGGAGCCATCGCAGCTGCTTCTGCGGAGCAGCTCCCAGCAGGTTGCGAAGCATTGTTAACGCTTCCAGCAGCCGGATTTCCAGGGGCCTTGCTTCCACTAGCTGTGTCTCCACTTGCTGTGCTGTCAGACGGAGGTCGCCACGACCATGTGCCATCAAACAAACTGGGGCAAACCACTCTTTCTTGCTCACTTATAGGATCTCTACGATGCTCTTCTCGCAGGCGGGCCAAGTACTCGTGCGCCAGCGTAGGTCTCTGCCAAGCAGCCCGCGATACCAAGTCTCGGAGCCCCCTCAAGCTTATGTCCGGCGGAGGAGACCGTGAGGTTTCCCTGCAGGTAGAAGCTGAGGATCTGCCTGCCGGAAATAAAACAACAGGCCAGATTCTATGCTCACAAGAAATAAGTTCCGAACCTTGCTCTGCAGCGTGGGCTTGTTGAACTACGGTGCCTGCTCCAGGCACACATGCAAAAATAATTCTTGCAAGGGGACCAACAGCACTAGACGCGTGGGAGCTACTCAAAAAGCTTTAACGCAAGGCTCCTTCTTTTTTGCATTCATGCAACCGGGGCTGCATCATTTTCCTGCATATCAGGTCCATGCGTGTGACAGCTTTTTCAGCCAGACACGCCCGCGAAATCCCAAAAGAGCTGTACCAGCAGCGCACGCAGCCTCAAGTGATCAATCCGAGTCGCAGTCGGGAAAGATGGATGGCTGCTTGAACAAAAACCATCGCAGGTCGGAGTGGAGCAGGAAGCTTGAAGCTTGCAGGGATTTTCGTTCCAGCGGACACAGAGCCAGCCACAAAGACGGTACTGCTATGCAGCTGAAGACATCCTGGGCGAAATCTGGCGCCTCTCTGCGCGCCCTTGCAGCTCGTGCACGACGACGAGCTGTGCGTCCGCGTCGCGGCATGTTTTTGGCAGGCACACACGCAGGGCCGAGGGCCTTCTATGTCAACATCTGAAACTGCGCGCTCCAAACGGTCTGAGAATCAAGCAGAACAAACGCGTCACTATGCATGCAAGTGCACGCGCAAGATTTACCACACAACAATGTCCAGGCCTCTGCCATCTTCTTCCTTCGCAGCATCGGCGTCGGAAGCACCTGGATACCATGAGTAAGCATGGAAGGAAAGGTTCCTAGCACGGGAAAGGTGGCAGGTCTGAACCTAGGTGATAGCATTTACGTTCTCAAAAATCCGCACACATGTGCTGCACTGAGTTTAGCACCAGCGCATCCGTCCATGTCGCTTGGCATGCAACCAAAGTCTGTAGCCAAAGCATCACATGCTCGCGTGCAAAACTTTTGAGACTGCAACCTAGCACATGTTCAAGTCTAAAGCGCCCTACTCACATAGCACTGCAAGTTCCTTATAGCTAACTATAGCTAGAAAAAAGAAAGCGCTCTACCTAGATAGCGCTGCACTTTGTGTCATGTGCTGGATGTTACATTCAAAGATGCAAATCTGCATAAAAGAATGTGGGAGACTCATAGGTGCAAACACACAGAAACACACATGTTCAAGAAGCTCGAAAGCTTGAAGGCTGCTCAACCACGACAACACTCACACAGCGCAGCATCATGAGAGTGCAGCGGAGCATGCTTCAAGGTACGTGGTGCAACTACAGGACATTTTTCGAGCACAGGTTCGTTGCATGTTATAACTGCAGGTCCAGGCTGAATTTCGCAGCTCTAACTGCCAGCATGCATTGCATGATGCATGCGCAAATGCGCAAATTTGACTGTGTCTCCACAAACTGCGTGTAATGGCTTGACACACTGTTGGCCCCCATATATAGCGCATAGCAGCGCTCACAAGTATCTAAAACCACGGAGTTCCCAAGACACAGCTACTCGTTTCGCCTCACCTGCGCGAGGCCTGCTCCAGCTTCTCGCGAATATACAACTCCACGGAGCCAAGCCTGAGATCATGCCAAACTGACAGCACACCTTGAAAATTGTTGACCTGCTTCCTGCCTGGCATCTGCCCACGGGTCGGGGCTGTAATCCACCAGAAGATTATGGTCTGGCTTCTTCTCGGCATACAATAAGAAATTGCGTGCCACCTGCAGCAGCATAAAAGGAAAAATCGTTCTATGGGCACAAGCGACATGAATGTGTCCCCTATAGCTGCACCTCCGAAGCAAATCTTCCTGTGTACATCTGCGCCTTCTTGAGGCTCTGCTTGCAGCCAGTAAAAGTTGGCTTCCCGCTTTTCGAAGTTCCCTTCACTGCCAGCTGCAGAGTCTTCTTGACGCAAGTTCGTTTCAATCTCCTGCATCGATCTAGATGGCACCACTAGCAACTGTGATAAATTCTCAGAGAAAATGTACGAACATCCGATGCACTCCAAAACCCCGTTTACACCACACTATAGGTTTAGGGTCTATACTATACGCTTTCAACCGAGATTACTCCTTGCAAGCTGGCACACGAAGGGGTCGTCCGAAAGCAATTTCGTGGGCTTAGCGCTGCCGTGGCCAAACATTCCAAGATACGTTCGGCACTCATAAACTGGCCGGCTTGCCATGAGCTCTGAAAATCTCACATGCATCGTTATCTCAGCTCGCTACATTGCAACACACGCTGTCACAAATTTAACACAATCGCTCGATCTGGCTTAAGCAGCAGAAGCATTGCAAACCAAGGCACCAGGCTCTGCAGGGGGTTCTCAACCAGGAAGTGGGCATCGCGCCACAGCGCGATGTAAATGAGAAGCAAGGCCTAACAGTATACGCGCTGATATCTATTGGACACTACCCATGCAGCAACATATCTGCAGAACAGACACTCGGGAAACCATTTGGTTCGCCCTGGAGACATTGTCAAAGTTCCTGAGATCACAGAGTGCTCGCAGGATATACAAAATATGTGCAGCATGTTTGCATGCGACGTCTAAACACATGATCGGCCATAGTCTCACGTTTCCCATTGGAGATGCAGCAGAACGTCCAGTGGTATGTCCTGAGTGTGTATTCTTTATAAAGCGCAGTCAAATTGGATGCATTGCATCCTGAACTCTACGCGATAGGGTATCAAGTATACACATACATTATATTATGCATATGCATGAGCGCAGGCAAGATACTTGACATAATGGACCAGGAGCTGCAAACTATGCCCATGCATAGAAGCCCTCCTGCTTCCAAATGCATTGCTTGCCACATATGCCGAGCGAAGCCGCAATCAGTGAGGATGTCCTGAAATTAGCATGCCACGTGTACAGTGTGCACACATACATGCAACCCCCGTCCAACATCCTCGATGCAACAAAGTTTCGTCGTCAGGGTTGAGGACTATGTCCAGGCGCGCCACTTTTTTCTGACGCTTCTGGAAGGCCCAGGACATGGCCCCTTGCCCCGAAAAGGCATCTATCAAAAACACCTTCTCTCCACCACGGAATTTGCTTAGCAAAGCCATGAGGATGAAGAGCCGCACAGGGAGATGTCCTTGCCGTCGGCCTACAGTTTCGTCCAGATACGGGATGGGCTCTGTGGCATCTGAATCATCTGCAGAGCCTTCCTCTTCAAAATCCCTTAGCTGCATATACCGCTGCACACGGTGCGTCTCATGATCACAAACAACACTTGCAAGCAAGCTTCATCTGGGTCTCTGCCAGCGGCATGACGCAGAAGTGGCAGGCTACAAACACTGGAACGCGCCAAGCAGGAGCCTGAAAAATGCAGGGATGGCAGTCCACCTACGTGCGCGCTCCATGGAACGGCAAGTCGCATGACTCCACAGGCGCGTGGCAGAACATGTTTCTGCACTCTCGATATGTGTATAGGAAGCGCACACAGTCGCTATAGGCCATGTTTTGCAACCCGCGTGCGGCAAACCACACATCCTATCCATGTACACATGCAAAGCGCTTTGCGCTGCCATCTAGCTGCACGAACAACTTCCCAACACCTAGGAATGCGTGGGTAAGCTCATGCCGGTTGCATGCAAATTTTGCAAGTTCTAAACTAGACATCTAGTTGATAATTTACGCGAATTGCTCAAGTGCTAGACCTGCGCACGAATGTCCCAACCCAAGGGGCGCAAGATCTCACTGCTCATCACGGGCACCGTTCGCATCCATGTTGGCAGGGATGTCCGCGGGCTGATTCTCAGCATGCACCTTCTTTTTCTTGTTGGGCTTCGTGAAGGGGCCAGCAAGCTTTGCCACGTACACTCGGGCATTCTCCTTGCGGAAAATGGTGGTGGACACTCGGCCTCGAAGTTGCGCTTGGTTCTTTGTTAGGCCTGCCTTGGTTGCCTTCCTGTAGGCACTGCTGTAGACGTTGTTGACCTTACACCAATCATCAGCGACCATCGTCTGATACTTGCCCTGCAGCTCAGCAAGGTCCATAACCATCATCTTCGTGACCTCGTCATCGTCCGTCAACACCGCGAAGTCCACTGGACTTGCCTGCTGCGCTGGGGCAGCAATCTCCACAGCTTCCGCAGCCACTTCCACAGCCTTGCGCTTCTTCTTGGACTTCAGCGCTGCCTTTGGTGCGCTCGACTTGCTCGGCACGGTCTGCTTCTGCTCCCCATGCTCCGGCTGCTGACTTGCAGCCTCCTCAGCCTGCATATCCGCCAGGTCCGGCTCAGCATCACGGTTGAGCTGCTCCACAAACGCTTGCTTCCGAGGCTTCTTGCGGGGCTTAATCTGATCAGTGTACGTTGCCTGCGCAAGCTCGGCAGGGGCCTTGTACACAAAATCTGGAAGTCCGTCTGGAAGCGTGCCACCGCTGAACAAGGTGTCCTAAGAGCAAGCACATATAAAAATGAGCCCTAAACCCTAAACCCTAAAAGCAATGTCCTGCGCGAGCATGTCCACGGGAGGAGGCGTTTCCACGGGAGAAGGCGTCTTCCCAGGAGGGAACGTGGCCAGACCCAAGTCCTCTGCAACAGGCTCGTCCACGTGAGATGGGCTTGCCTTAGATAGCGCATAGAAACCGCGCTTAAAACATCCTGGCGTGTCTGCTCATTTCTTCACGCGCTCCATGTTGCTATCTCCTTGTGCTGCACAACCACAGCGTGGCAAACGCCACGATCATCCACCGCCCAGATGGCTTGCAGCTCAGGCAGCTCACGGGGCATCTCAACGGGGCCAGTCGCAGTAGGCACCACAGACGTCCACGGCAGTACCTCAGCCGGCGTTACTGCCTCATTTGTCTCACCTTCAACATAGGCAGGCGATCCCAAAGTCAACGTCTCCTGTGAATCTGGCAAGTACTCGAACGAGGCCGGGTCAACCAGCGGCTTCCCTGCAACAAGAAGATTCTCCTCTTCAGAATCATAGCATGTCAACAAGGTGTCTGCAGTGTCCATGGCCGAGCCATGGCGTACAGGGGTGGGAACGGGCCGGAAAGGTGGAGCCTTAGATCATAGCATACTTGATATACACAAGCACCCTGCACGGAATATGGACGCGCACACACACACAGACCACACAGATCAGGAACAACTTCTGCGCTCCCACACGCGTCAGGGTGTGGCTCGTCATCTGAAATCACGTCCACGAACTCGTTCAGCAGCTCTTCGATAGCCAGGTCCTTCTCTGGCTGGGTCAACGGGATATCCGCCAGGTTATCGTCAGGATATATCTGGGTCATCGAGATATCACCGTCCTCGAGGGGCTCGCCATCAAGCTCCTCATACAAGTTTCACGCGCAGTTATGTTGGATGGCCACTAGCTGTAGAAATTAATGCAGGCAAGCTGCCGGGTTGTTGGTCTCACGCATGCCTTGGTACATGGGGGCGTGGCAGAATAAGGTGCAAGGGGTGTGGTCAGTGCTGCATACACGCATTATATGTGTGCCACCAAACTGCTCTTACTTCCCTGTGACCAATACAAGATCTCAACTATATCATCATCTGCTTTGGACTTGCGTGTGCTGCGAAGATGGGCACGGCTCTTCAAGGGGTTGCTTTGCATAACAGCCCTGAGCTTCTCTGCCACCTTGCCATTTGACCATGCATGCAAACATCTTATGTTCCGGATTAAATTTACAAGCACGCAATGCGTGCAGCAGAGCGCGCCTCACCCTTAGTGCCGCGTTTTTCAGCACGTCGCCAGTAGGCACGGGCATAGGCTAGGAGGGCTAACAAAGTGTACCCTTCCTTAAGGGTTGCAAGCCATGTTGTGCACACACATTCGGTGCAAAATGCTTTGCAGGCCAGCATCGTCCTGGTACCACTTCTTTTTGCCACGAACTGTCTTGGACTGTGACAAACTGCCCCGGGCGTCATTGTCGATCGCAGCAAAACAAAGAACGAGAAAGCTAAGCGTGAAATCTCCTGCATGCATGCAGCGCTGTCATCCAAACTATAGAAGCGCTTTAAATCATGTAGGAAAAAAGTACAGTTGATAAACAAGGGCCTTCGGGTGACAGCTCAAAGAAGCTGCAAACCAGATCGAGGTGGTTGGTCAAATCAAGATAGCTGATATTTGAAGGGTTCCTGTTTCATAGTTCTGGCAGACATTCAAAATCATATCTGTCTGCACAGCATTGCATGCCCTAACATAAATGCGCTCGAGGCTCGAAACCTGGGGGAAAAGGGTGTTGGCAGGAGGTCTCACACTAGCACACCGCAACAAAGTCTCCGCAGAAAGATAATACTTCAGAAGTCCTAGGCACACAGCCCAAGCAAGATATGAGAAACGCAGGCTGCATATCACATACATCTGCTTCATGCAAGCAGGTTGCCGGCTGCCTCCTTCTCTTTGCCGTCCAGCACTCCCATGGCTTGGCCACAAAGCAGCGTACAGCAAAGCTAAAAGCTATGCAAGAAAAACAAACACTGCGAACGCAAATCCAGGCAGGTCAACACGTGTTCATACTTGCGCGATCACATCGCACATATGGACATGTCCAAGTTTGCAAAGTCAAAGCTGGGGCTGGGGAGGGCGCGCCTCTCGAGATTCGCCCACGCGGCATTGCATGCACAATTGAACACTACATAGCAGGTTTTCGTTCTCAAAATATGCAAATGCAAGAATATTTTGCATCATGCGTGTATAGAACGTCAAAGCATGAAAGTCAGAATGCAATGAAGCTTTCTATTTATTGCCGGTCCTGTCCCCCCCCTTCCCCTGCTGCCATGCCAAATCCTCAAAGCCTTCCACAAGCTGTCATGCGCGGCAGATTGACATCATACGGTGTTCGGGATTATGACATCTTCTGCTGCCCTAGAAATCAAACTGAAACATGCAAATACACAAAGCGCCCCTTGCGCTGTCCAACACCGCTTTAACACAATCAAAATGAAGACTGTATAAACACCAGCGCCACTTGCGCTGTCCAAGACCCTACGTACAGAATGGGAAAAACATACAAAGATGCAAACTGCCCCTTGCACTTTTCAACACCACTCTGACTCCGGCCCTATATCCATGCCCGGCCCCTCGGCCCCTCCAGCTTTCCAATCCCAGGGGCCACGATACGTTACTGAGACTCTCGGGGGGTCCGACACGTGCATTGCAGGGGTCGGCACGTGCATTGGACATGCCCGGGACCCTTAGGGAGGTGAAGATTCTTCAACGTGAACTTTGCCCCCAGAACGCTCGTGATTTGGCACCTCCCGAGGTTAGGGGCTACATCGACAACTTCCAGGACCTGGTGGAGCGACCACGACTTGAGCAGGAGGTGCTGGCGAACTCAGGGGTTTTGGTAGAACCATACTGGGACCCCGCTCTTCGTCATGACAGGCATCTCCGTCTTGAACTTTATCGAGCGCTCCACAGGTGCCACTTGCTCAGCTTCTGTCTTCGCAGGCGGGCGCGGGCTGGCATCTTCATGGTCAGGAAGAAGGATGGCATGCAGAGATTGATAGTGGATTGCCGTCAGGCAAATGCATTCCAGAGGACGCCACCCACTACGAGGTTGGGAACGCCTGCTTCTATGACCGCCCTTGACCTTTCCCATGACACCCTCGTCGCTCAAGGCTGCGGGGGAGTACTTGGACAAGACAAGTTCGGCAAGATACAGGTTTCTGCCGAGTCGGGTGATGTCGGGGATTGTTTCTATAACTTTGTGATCCCATCCTTGTCGAAGTGGTTCGCTTTTGATGATGTTTTCAGTGGGAACGAGTTAGAAGAGATGGGACTGCATCCTGGCGAGGTCTATGACGACGAGCTCGGCAGGTCACGTCCACTTCAACCTGGAGAACTTGTTTATGCAGCTTTTCGTGGAGTACCCATGGGTTGGTCATGGGCCCTCTACTTGGCGAATCAGATTGTTTCCTATCAGGCCTCAATGAGCAGCGACCGAGCAGGGGAAGACGAAATCAGGGACCGTCACCCACCACCGTCGATCAAGCCAGGGCTTCCAGTCGTCGGGGTTTACGTGGACAACATACACACCCTCGGCGGCAAGTTTGGAGATGCTGGAGAACGTATGGACAAGATCGCGAACCACTTCGCGGACTTGGGCATCCCATTCGCTGCCGATAATGTGGAGTCGGACCTGAACCTCGAGAGCCTCGGGCTCTTTCTGGACTTCAGAGGTGGAGCCACTGCCAGGTCCAAATCTGAAAGGGCCTGGAAACTCTGGAAGGCCACTCGAGGCCTTCTGCGGCGACGGCGAGTTAGTGGGCGAGTTCTTCGAGTGTGGCTGGGGCTCATTAACTTTCACTTTCAGCTTTTCCGGCCTGCGCTCGCCTCCCTTGCAGTGACATATCGGTTTGCGGCCGAGCACCTCCATCATCGAGCTCCTTTGTGGCCGTCGGTCCGTATGGAGATGAAGAATGCCATGGGCCTCATTTTCCTGGTGGAGTGGAGCATGGACGCTGCGTGCTGCCCTGAGGTTCACATAGGGGACAGCTCTGATCGAGGATATTCTCTGATGGCTACCTCGGCGGGTTCAGCGGAGATTCGTCGGGCCCTTCAACATCGAGAACGCTGGCGCTTCACTCCTGGAGATCCTTTGACCAGACCTTGCGACAAGCTGGCGGACGGAGACCACCATGAAGATTCTTTTGCTGGAAGTGCACCATCGGCTGGCGTTGGACGTAGGACTGCCTATGGCCAGGAGCTGACAGCGCGAGCAGACACGGCCTACCAGGACTCGGCCTTCATCCAGCGACGTGGGCGCCTCTTTGGGGAGGAAACCAGAGAGCCCTCCACTTTGATAGCTTCTGTTGGCATTCCTGAGCTTGAACACTCGTGGGACAATCCTCAACGCTGGACTTTGTTGACGGCGAAGCCTTGGCGACACGTGGCCGAGCACATCAATGTCAAGGAAGCAAGAGTCTGCCTCATGTCTTTGAGAAGATTGTGCCGCAGTACTAGAAATATGGGGACGACCGCCTTGACCATCTCTGACAACTTGGTTAGCTGCTTGGTTTTTGAGAAGGGTCGAAGCTCCTCTAGGCCGCTGAACAGATTGTGTCGACGAGCTGCAGCCTACCAACTTGCCTGTCGGATTCAATGGCGACTGAGACATATTCCAACCTCCAGAAATGTTGCAGATGGACCCTCGCGACTTTGGGGTCCTGACCTTCCTCGTCCCGGTGTCCCACGACACGTTCGAGCTGCTCTGACCGACTTCCCCAAGGATGGCCACTTCGACCAGTACTCATTTGAGCTTGGAGAAGGCGAAGAGGAGCACAAGAACGATGCCAAGATGACCCGGTTTTGCGAGGCATCCACTGAGGCTCCGGGATCTGCTGGGACACGACCTGCATATTTCTTGGAGTTGTTCTCCGGGACGGCTCAGCTCACGGCAGCGGTTGATAGGATAGGGCTTAGGGTTTTACCTGATATCGAGGTCGCAAAGGGCAAGATCTTCGACTTGACACACCCCAAAGCTCAACAGTTCATCCTTTCTCTGCTGGAGAGTGGCCAAATCTGGTTTGTCCATTTGGGGACTCCGTGTACAGTGTGGTCAAGAGCTCGTCGCAACATCAAGAATGTGAGGCGAGCCCGCGAAAAGGAACGTGTTGGAGTTGCTCTTGCTCTTTTCAGTGCCCGGGTCCTGCGGCTTTGTCTTCGGCTAGGCATATTTTTTAGCCTCGAGAACCCCCAGACAAGTCGGCTATGGGAATTTGGACCCATCAAGGACATCTTCAGGCATCGGGCTGTCTACTTCTTCACGACTCACATGTGTGCATGGGGGGTTCCCTACAAGAAGCCAACAAGTATCCTCACAAATTGCAAGAATCTCTCGAGTCTGCAAATTAAGTGTGCCAAAGATCATGTACATCAACAGTTGCGAGGTTCTGAGACGGTGATTGTCAGTGGCAGGCGCATTACGCGCAACCGTACTGCAGGAGCTGGAGCTTATCCAACTCTTTTCTGTGCAGCATGGGCTCTACAGCTCGCCGCAATTGCCCCGGCAGGGGCCCTGGGCAGCCCTCGTAGTGCCGACACGTGTGCTCTCCTTCATGGCTTGGAAGCGGCGCGCATGCGACCTGACCGACTCGATCATCAACCTTCCCAACGAGACGTTCAATCGGATGACACGGTTGCGGACGACATCCGGGAGCACCTCCTCCACGTTGCCAAGTACATCCGCACCCACCCGATTGTCTTTGGCCACTTCACTGCCTATGACATCGCGAGACTCGCCGGCTACCACAACGCCGGCAAAACGACAGCGACCTAGAGTCGCCCCTTCGGGCGACAGCCTGCCTGCCCTGGTTCGTCTGCGAGCTCAGAAAGTTTCTCAGAAGACCCTGGACAGCTACTTTCGGCACATAGGAGATTTTGAGAAGTGGGCTAAGCTTCGGCGACTCCGAGTCAGTTCCAACAGTT